ACAGGAGGAGACTGTCCCTCCTTTCCCAGCAGAGCATCTGGTGGATTCGAACCGTGCTCTTCTGGGATTGCAGTGCAGCTTCTTGCCACTAGGCCACCAGAGCTCCCCTTCCTCAACTTTCGGTATTTGAGTATTGATGGTCAATACCCCAAAACTATTATTCGTGGTTTTTTGGTTTGTTTTGCATTTTGTATGCCCTTTTCTTTTAAATGCTGTTTTCTTTTTTTCTTTATTGGACTATTTACAAAATTTAAATACCTATTATTAATTTTTTTAAAAAAATTCAGGTGGAATAGATTGATGGTTGTATTTTGCTTCTTGTGGATTTGTTTTAATCTTCTTCAGCTTCAATTTAAAACTTACACATGAATTTCCATGAGTAATTCATGGTGTATTCCAGTAAGCACCAGTCTGGTTCTGACTAGTAATACTGAGCTGCTCCGGTGACTTTTTTCCATAGATGTAGTCTATCAGATGTCTGTAAAAAAGTTGCCATTTCTATTTCTTAGAAAAGGTATTTGCTATGAATAAATCATTGCTCTCCTTATTTCTGTCACCAAGTCTGGGCTTTCTACCATTTCTTCCTCATTGTTTCCAACTTTTGCATTCCAGTCTCCAATAATTAATGAATCATTACTGCATATTTGATCAATTTCTGACTACAAAAAATGGATTAATTTTATTATTAATATACATACTGATTTGATACAATAAAACAGAATTCTGGTGGCTCGATTCACAGGAAATTATACTGCTAATGCAAAGGTGGAGCCTCCAGTAGTTTGAATCCACCAGCAGCACTGCAGGAGAAAGACGGGAAACTCTCTCGTGACTTCTCTCAAAACCTGGTGGAGGGTCAGCTGAGTCAGTTCCAACAAATGGCAATGAGTTAATCAGTGAATATAACAAAGTTAGCAGTAAGATTCCTCTTTTCACTCTATAAAAGGTCATAATAATGCAGATATACAATGGGTCCTAAGCTACAACATTTACTTATGTATGTGATTTCAGAGAGAATTCCTTTCCATAATTTCCTGAAGCCCACTAACTGATCTCCTTTGAAATTTTATAATCTCAACCAATCATCCCAAGATTCAAGAATATTGCAGAATTCCTCATATACTTTAGTGGTTTTTGCCTGGTTTTTGTATGTTGTAAATAGTCAATTTAAAATACATCAATGACTTCGATATGTAATGAATGCTAGGGGGGAAAGCTCTGATGTTTAAATTTGCAAAATATCAAAACTAAGCATGATTCCTTAAACTTTAATAAACACTCACTATATGGTAGTTTTCTTTCCTGCAGTAAATTATTTTACTATTAGGCACAATGTACATAGCAGACAGCTATCTATATGATCAACTTTCCAAAACAAGAGGGTACATCTTTTCACCAGAGAATTAAGAATTTTTAAGCTTGGGTTGTTGTCCAACCCATCACTTACTGTCCAGCAGGTTTCCAGAGGCTGTAAAGTGCAAAGAAGACTGCCTAGATTTTTCCCAGAGAGCAGCTGGTGGATTAGAACTACCTGATTTTGGTTGGCAGCACCATCTCTTACCACACAGTCACCACAGCTTCCTCTTATAGGATTATTATATTATACAGTTTTCTTTATTCAGGTGCCTAGAGTTCATAAACAGTAACCGGAATGGCTGTAGTAACCATGCAGTAATAAATTCTTTCTTTTCAGGAGGAGGAGGAGGAGGAGGAGGAAGTAGAGGAGAAAGGAATGAAGAAGGAAGCAAAGCAGTAAAGGAGCCACACACTCAGAACCATGAGAAGTGCCTTGGAAACCAACAGGGAAATAGAATTTATTATCTTTATAAACATATTCCCTTGTGAACAAGAGATTTATTTTTGCAGATAGACTCTTCCATAATTCCTTTGAGTTTTTATGTTATTGATGCTGTTTGCAGAAAAGTATTTGGTATATTAGTGTACTTGACAGTGATACTTAACATTCTTTAATTTAGAAAAAAAGTCAACAATCTACATTTTATGTGTAGTTCGACAAAATGACAGAATCTTTTTCCTGATTAGTTGAATTGCAAAGACTATTTCTTTAGAAACAGAATCTGAAATTGTATTTTCATATAGCATATGGTATTATTTGATATCTTTTGTTACTTTTACAATTATATTCCCAAAGGATTATTTGAAATTGCATGAATGAGAAATAAAGCTTTACTCATATTTTGAGGGCAGTGGCGTGTGTATCTGTGCACAACCTATCCAGGCTAAATTAATTTGTTCTTTGTATAATAAATGTAGCATTACAACTATTGGGAAATACCTAAATACTATAAGTAAGCACAAGTAATAAATGAAGTGATTGTTATTCTGAATGGTTTACAAAGTCATTATTTCTTTTTAACAAGCTTGTTGTTGTTATGTGCCGTCAAGTCGCTTGCAACTCATAGCGACCCAATGTACAACAGCCCTAACCCCTGCTCTATCCTGTGCCAATCGCACTGTCTGACACACCCATACCAATTACCCGTCACTGAATCAATCCACTTCATAGAGGGTCTTCCCTTCCTGCGCTGTCCCTCCACCCACCCAAGCATGATGTACCACTCCAAGGACCTGTCATTCCTTACATGACCAAAGTATGTCAGACGAAGCCCCAGAATCCTTGCCTCCAAGGAGCCGCCCGGTTTAACCCTCTCTAGGATGAATCTGTTTCTTAGCAGTCCATGGTACACTCAATACCCTTCTCCAGCACCACAGCTCAAAGGCATCCATTCTCCTATCCTTCCTAGTCATTGTCCAACTCTCTGACGCAGGACTGGCAAAATCTATTGAGAGCACACTTGGAAAGGTGGAGATGAACTGCCACTATGGGCAATGTTCAGATGTGCTATTCACAGGGGATGCTATAAGCCAACTCAAAGGCCCATAACAATTGAGATCACTGCACTGACAGGTTGTAACAGAACACAAAGGGAATAAAGCTTCACCATGAAATGCCAATACTTAGAACTCTTGAAGCAATAATGGAAAAATTAAGCTAGCTTTTTTTTTAAAAAAACAAGGAGACTTACTATACATTGATGACACAATTTGCTAGCAAAAAGATAGACCATGTCTTGGTAATGAGCATTTCAAACAAGGTTGAGTTCATTAATTTCTGTATGATTTTTTTATGAAAACAAAAAGTTCAAGCTTTGAGACAACCAAACCCAGATTTTGCAGGCAGATACAAACGGAACTGACTGAACGGAACTGATAAAGACTAAGGTGAATTCAGAAGGAGTAATGAGTTTTTCATATGACCACTTATAAGTACAGTTCTTAAGAACTCTAGTGGCAAAAAAAAAAAAAAAAAAAGAACTCTAGTGGCATAATTCATAGAGATTAAGACCCAAAGGAAGTTTTTTTCTGACAGTTCAAATGCACCACCTGCTCCACTGAATAAAGATGGGCAACCTCTACTAATGTGATTCACAGCCTCTGAAAACCCAGTGAAGAGTCAGCTATGAGTCAGTTCCAACTTGCAAGCAGTGACTGATTTATACATGGTATCACCAGAGTTTATAAAAGGAAGGCAACGATGGTATAAAAGCAAAATGATTATTTTGAGGATAGAGAAAAAAATTTTACAATGTACCGTGGGATTATCTATATCTCTATCTATCTATCTATCTATCTATCTATCTATCTATCTATCTATCTATCTCTTCAAAGCAAAAGGTAAAACTTACTCATCTTTAAGATTAAAAGCCATTATTAAAATCATTACTACTGTAACTTGTGAAAGGTTAATTGTTTTCTAAGTGAATTGACTTCTCCTTGCTATTTCTTTCCTTTTGGGGGATCACTGCCAAGTTCTACATCTAGTTTAATCTTTTAGAATTTTATCTCTCCTATGAAGTTTTTAAGGTTAGGATTCCATCAAATAATTGTACTACAATACTGAAGTCATTATTGTTATGAGCCATCAAGTCAGAACCAACTCATACCTGACTCTGCAGCAAGTTTTCAAAGGTTGAAAATGATACAGGAGACTGTCCATCTTTCACCTGTGAAACAGCTGGTGAATTAAAAATGCCTGCCTTTGGGTTTGCTTTCTTACCTGTAGGCTACTAGAACTCATCAAGCCACTGTGGAACTTGACAAATGTATAGCAAATGCTTCTTCTCAGAGTTAACATCACTGGTGTTATTTTTGCTTTGGTGTACTTTAGCAGTGTCAGAAAAACACACCTCTCACGCAGTGAGGTCTAAGGTCTACTATGAATTAAAAGAGAGAACCTACACATACCACGAGACCTTCTCAATAATGAAGTCCTAAATGTTTTGAGGATACTCAAAGAAAAAAAATGCATTCACTGTGCAGTCTCACAGGTATTTTGGCTAATGTTTTCACAAAACCTTTGCATAAGCACTAATTTTTATTAAATGTTGTTGAGATTTTAGATCATTGAATAGAAGGATTACATTTTTTGATGTGCTGTCAACTATGACTCACAGCAACCCTATATGTACAATAGCTCTGAATACTGTTATATCCTAAGCCAATCTCACTGTCTCTGAAACACATATTCTCATTACCACAGTGACTGTGTCAATCTATCTCATCTGGGGTTTTCCTCTCCTATGCTGTCCTTCCACCCTTCCAAACATGATATTCTTCTCCAAGAACTGGTCTCTACTGGCAACATGCCCAAAGTATGTGAGATGGAGCTTCAAAATCCTTGCCTCCAAGGAGTAGCTTGGTTTCACCCTCTCCAAGATATATCTCTTGGCAGTCCATGATATGTTCAATACTCTTCTGCAGCACCACAACTCAAAGGCATCAACTCTTCTGTCACCTTTGTTCACTGTCCAGCTGTCTGATGTACAGCAAGTAACTGTGAAGACCATGGCCTGTATCAGGCAAACCTTCCTTACTCTGTGGATTGTCACTGTTGCTCTTCAGGACTCTGGAGAAGTCCCTGACAGCAGATTTACGTAATGTAATCTACCTTTTGATTTCCTGACTGCTGGTGCCAAGAGTGTTGACTGTGGAACCTAGCAAGTGGAAATTGTCCACAATCTCAATCTCTTCTTCATCTGTCATGGTTCTGTCAATTGGCCCAGTGGTGAGAATCTTCATTTTCTTGATGCTGAGCTTCAATCCATATTGAAGACTACATTCCTTCACCTTCTGCAGCAAATGCATCAGGTCCTCCTTAGTTTCAGCAAGCAAGGTTGTGTCATCTGCATAATGAAGGTTATTGATGGAGTCTTCCTCCAGTCCTGACGCCACATCCTGGATGCACTCCTTTCCTGATTTTTACTACACTGGAGAACATCAAATTAATATAATCAGTCACCTAACTCTGCTACATAGTAGAAGCAAAATGTCTAGTAAAAGTCTGAAGAGTAGGAAATTGGACTTAAATAAGGAAACTCATTCTCCACTAAACAAAAGAAAAGGGTACCTTTAGCTGCAGTGAACGTGACTTTCTTGTATAGACATTATTGTTTGTGCCATCAATGCGCTCACTTTGCTATTTTACTTCCTAGAGAAGGATGGGCAATATCCTCCTGTGCAATTAACTACCTCTGAAAAGCCGCTGGAGGGTCAGCTATGAGTCGGTTCCAACTCTACAGTACACAGCAACAACAGTACAAATAAATATATACATATAACCACTGATGGAGACAGAGACATTGATTTCTAATGCTTGTCAATAGAAAAGCAGGCAGACAACATATTTATTTCTTAGTTATATACTTCCTGTTTTATTCTGAAAACAATCTTTTCTGATATGCATTCAACTGATTATATTACAGTGTCTCAAGGTATACAGAAATTGCCTATATTCTCCTATAAACTAATTGAACACTCATAATTATTAATATTTAGGAATTTAAGCAAAACAAGACTTTCTTTTTCCAACTTTTAAAATTCTTTTTTCCATCTAAGTTAATATATATTTGACATCTGCATTATAGGTGCATATAATGAAAAAACATGTCTGTCAAACTGACCACAGAATTAAACGGCAAACAGAGTCTCTGACAGAATTCAATTTGCAAAGGCAAAGTCATTCAAGGAAGAGTAGAGAAACTGATTTCCTTATGAAATGGTCAAAAATTAAGAATTAACAAAGATGTTAAATATTTCATAAATCTTTCCATATTCTTTTAACATACAAGTGTGTATTACGAGTGTGTGGTGTTTGTAACTTATGTCTAATCTAGACTGGGAACTCCTATTGTGGAGATGTTCTTCACCAAAAGGCGTTGGGATAAAAAGATGAGAGGTAGTATAGGAAAGGGAGGACACTTGTCCTTCATACACTTACTCATGTCATTTACTAGAGAGGTAGAGTAGGCTATTTAAAGTTTCAATGAGCTGAGAGATTAAGGTTATAATTGAACAAATCAGAGTGATGGCCATCAACAGAAAATTACCTTGCTGCAACACACATGCAAAACTATTTTGCTGTTCTATTTGTCAGTAATGAGGGCAAAGTGGGAGGTTTAACTAATTTAAAACATAAACAATCTGAATTTAAAAAAATTATTTATTCTGCTTCCAATAATAACTGATTTCCAGCCACATTTATTTTTTTAAGGTAAGAAACAGGAAATTAACTGAAGAAATAGTTATGGCCTTGGACTATGGAACATTACACTCTAACACATCGATGGATTTAAAAGATGTAGAGCATCACTGTAAAGGTGTTCATCTTGTTGGCTTTTAACAAGGAATGGACGCAGCATTAATGAGCATTCTCCAAAAAGGCTTTGCAGCACCTAA